ATGACTTAAAAAAAAAAAAAAAAAAAAAAAAAACCCCGCCCCGAAAAAAAAAAAATGAATTTGAAGAGTTTACAATACTGGAAAATAAGAAGAGATTTTGGTAAAAAGGAAATTGTTTCCTACCAGTGAAGAATGAGGGATATTATCCTCCTTAAGTATAGTGAGAAGAGATTCCAGTGAACCATTTGGGGTTGATACAGGCAATTACTAAAGACAAGAGACTGGCTGTACTGCTGCTCTGAGGGCAGAATGGTGATAGCTACTCTGGAAATGGCTTGTATGCCCAAAGTTTGTCAGGAAAAAGATAAATGAAGATAAAGGAAGGTTTATCTTCAGATAGTTATAGACAAGGTAGGAGAAACACCCAGCCAGGAGATGCCTCGGTGCCATTTTGATCATGAGAGACACACGAAGGAGCCATACAAATGAGCAGTAAGAATCTATATGTGTTAGACAACCACAGCTATGATCTTAGAGAAGAGGAAATATTTGACTCATTAAAAAACTTCAGGAGAAACGTTCCCAGTGAATGGGAGTTTCAAAAAAACTCAGAAATTTGCTCCAAGAAAGAGCGGACTTTTAATCTGATGTGGCCAAGACAAAATAATAGCTTCTCTCCTTCCCTTTAAGGCATGAAACCATAGTTGGAAGACTGGGAGTTGAGGGCAAAGTGCAGACTAAGGAAACTAGGTTTCCTGACCACAGCAGCTGATCACAGCTCCCCCTTCACACCCATTAGAATAAACTGTGGAAGGGAGAAGCTTTAACATTAGTAAGCTACAACATTTTGATTATTACATAGAAATGTAATTAATTAATTAATTAATGGGAACTTCTATTCTCTTTTATCTAAAGGTTACATGCTAAAATTTTAAAAGCTCTGTAATTGTAACCCACACCTTCAAACTTTGAACTGCTACTGACTGGTAACACTGCTAAAGTATATTAATTCAAGCCTCACCAGTTACATAAGAAACCAGCTTCCAAAACCAAAATGTCATATGGCTGAGCATACTATACTTGTTCTGCCCTGGTCTCATCCAGGCTGCCACAAAGGGTATATTTATAAGTCATTTTTAGAACAATGAATAAGCCTTGATTGGAATAGAGCTAAAAATTAAGAACCTTCGTGTATTTTGTAGAAAGTACAACATACTGTTGAATAAAATCAGTTCTCATTTTTCTTATTTTTATCCTAACATCAGCTATTGCTTCTAAAAAAAACTTGCAATTTTTATTTACAAAAAAAAAAAAAAAAAAAAAAAAGTGTATATTGTAGAAAGTACAACATACTGATGAAGAAAATCAGTGCGCAGTGGGCGGAGTTGTATCCTAACATCAGCTATTGCTTCTAAAAAAAAACTTTCACTTTTTATTTAAAAAAAAAAAAAAAAAAAAGACAAATAAAAATAAAACAAATGAAGGTTTGGCAACGCTACCTTTGAATATGATACTCTGGATTACAGAGATGTAGTCTTCAGGTTCCTGCTCAGTTGAGATCTCCCATCTGCTTTGAGAGATGTTTAATAATTCATAGAGCTGAGCTGAACTCTTCACTCCACAAAGCAAAGTAACTACACTTTCTGCTGAATGAAGTACCTTTTCTAGAAATTGACATTTCTTTGGAGTTAGATCTTTAAGCAGGCTGTTTGATAATATCAAAAGTTTACATTTGTAAGAGGTTAAGTTCAGCAACTCCAAATGCCGAAAAGAAAAATTCTCCAAGTGATATAACAGGATCGCTTCCCTTTTCACAACATGTAAAAATACTTCCATCAAATACAGAGCCCATTCCTCAGCATCTTCTTCATATATCATTATGATGTCTTTTGCACTTCCTGCAAAAAGAAAAAAAATATTTTCTTACAGTTGCAATGATAACAGCAGGTTAAATTATTATTTCTCAAAAGTTTAAATATGTTCATTAAGAAATATATTAATTTGCATATACCAGAGAAAAACTCTATGAATATAAAAAAATCTTCGTAGTATAAAAATATCATAGATTAAATAAAAACAGAATTCAAAGATGTTAATTTAATTGTTAAAAAGAATGACGTAAAAGACTATAATAAGGAAACAAGTTGAGAGCCAAAGGATACTATTACCCAAATAATAAATAAATTAGAAAAAGAAATGAATGATTAAACATAGGTAATATTATAGATAATATTTTAATTTCTGGCCAAAAAGAAAAACTTGATGTTTTCATAGTAAATGCAAAAACATAAAGGAGGAGTAACAGAACAAGGTTAGCGCAATTGTTCAAAATATGATATATCTAGATAAGAGTCAAAAACAGAAAAGATTCAGTATAAGGATGATCCAAAAACCTTAAGTAAAAGAGAATACACACATTAAAATATTGTAAAACATATAATTTTTAATAATTTTAAAAATCCTTGAAATAAGAAAGATAAGGGAACCAGCTCTATGGATCAATGGGAAACAATCAGGATCTAACTAAAACTGTTAAAGAAAACTGATCTTGAATAAATTGCCCTTGACTTAATGATGATTATAAAATTTCTTCACATATCCAGGAAGGAAAACCAGGTAATCACAATAAGGAAAATGTGAGGTTGGCTTTGATTTCTTCAGAGCAATTTAAGGGCCAGATGAATTATAACAAAGTTTTTATAAAACTAATTTTTACAGTATATTCATACTATGCAATATTGCATAACAATGAAAAAGAACGAAACAATGATACATACAAAATTGGTGAATCTAAAGACGTAATATTGAGTGAAAGAAAAAAGAGTGTATACTGCATAATTGTATCTGTATAAAGTTCCATGGCAGAAAACTTGATTCATGGTATACAGATCTGAAAATTTTAGCGTAGAATTAATAAATGAAAGCAAGCATGATGAGAGAGCCTGCTGGAGTTCTGGATATGGTCTATATCTTGATCTAGTTGGTAGTTCTCATTCATCTATATATGTTAGATTGTGTATGTAAATTATACTGCAATAAATCTATAATAGCTAGATGATTTGGGGAGGGAAAGCCATAGGAAATAAATAAAACATTTGTAACATTATCACATGTATTTGAAAATTAGAGAAAATACACAAATAATGGAGCTTTGACAGGTCAATAGGGCATTTACAAAAAGAAAGATAGGTACATTTCAATATTTTGTACAAAAAACAAAAAATGAAGTAAATATTAACAGAAACAAGCCCCAAAAGTTATGAAAGAAAGCAGAATATAGATTTGGATCAATAGCGTGCATGTGTTTATAGTTATAACAATGTGAAAACTGATTAACTACAAGTTGAGATTTATTCTACAGAAGAGTCAGACAAACAAAAGTATAAAAATACTTCTCTTTTATATTACAAGAAGACAGCAGATAATAGCTAAAATTAGTAAATCGAAAAATCACAATAAAATGTATATTTTCAAAATATGCAATAGAATAAAAAAAGAAACTTTGAAAAAATTATGGTTCTTAAGGTTCTTAGAAGGGCAGAATGGTATTTGGGGAAATAGAAAGTAAAGGACTGTCGATTTTCACTATATTTTATCATTGTTTTATGAAAGTGTAACTAATCAAAATTTACAGGGAAAAATCCAGCAAAAAATAGCAGAACCAAAGTAAGTAAAGTAAATGGAAATGTAAACAACTCTGGAAAAAGAACAGGGTGAGTTGACTATATGTACCTATAGAACAACAACTAAATGCTGATGGCATTATGATTGCACTACAAAATGCACATGTTAACTTGATGAAATAGAAGTGGTTACACAGCGGGAAAACTAAGCATTTGGGGAGGAGAAAGTAAAACATACTAAGTTCATCTTTCATATAATTTAGTCCTTCAACATTGCCTAAATTTGAAACATTAATTTAAAATAATGACTTCATTTAATATTTTTAACATTTTTCCAAAACAATAATAATCTAAAAAGTATTCAAAGACATTTTTATCTTAAAATCAATATCTCATTAGTTTTACTTTAAATTAACTTTATATTTATAGATAGCATGTAAAGTCTAATCTCATTTTTAATAAAACAGTAGCTTCATCCCTATCTACCCAAAATAATTCTATCATTAGCAACAATTGTTTATGAGAGAGAAGACTCAGAGATATATGGCCTCCTTTATCTTTGCTCTTCCATATTGCTTATCTTTTTATAATAACCTTTTATTATTTTACAAAACATAATCATTTTTAAATATCAGTTTGTGCCATATTATCATAAGTACAAAGAATGAAACACCAAACTCTTCTCGTCTTCCTCTGAAAACAGAGCATGCATTTTCTACACCACTGATGTGGTGTAATGATTCTGAGAGCTTTTGTATTTTATTGAATTATTGAGTTTATGTATTTCTGTCTTTTCTCATGATATAAATATTATCTCTGACGGCAGATGCTTTATTTTTCATTCCAAATTCCTACACAATGCCAAGCACAATTTCTTGAACAGATATTCAAATTTTTTAAACATATTTATGTATGTAGAATGAGAAAAAAACATCTGGCAGAAAACATATGGGAAACACATGTAAGTTGTATATGAATCATCAATGTAGTTGTTATGCTGTATATAGTATCTCACCAAGTCTGGATGCTAAATAAATGGCTTGTTTAACAAACAGAAATATTATGCCATAATTCAGTATTTTTAGGTTTGAGGAACAGTGGAAGAAGGGTTTTCTTCATATAACTTATAGCCAGAATAAGCTGGTCTACAGTTATAAAATAGTAGGAATAAAAATAATAATCATTAAAATTATCAAGCACTTAAAATAAATTAGGACTCTTGTGTTTCACATATGCGTTTCATTTAATACTCATAGTTACACTATTAAGTAAGTACTGTTATCCCCACTTTATAGATGGGAAAACTGAAGTGGTATTAGAATCAGGACTCCAATGCAGGCAGTCTGCCCTATACCCTATACTTTTCACTTCTAACAGCAAAGGACACAATAACATTATTTAAAAGATTACAGTAGGTTATTTGCAGGAATATGAATTAGATTAGTCAATATCAAGTAGCTTATGGGGTATTACTAAGCATGCACAGTATGTGAAGGCTCACTGGGAATCTACTTTTCTACCAAGGAGAAAGAGGAATCAGAACATTCCATGCACTCCAAGAATAGAGTAATCTATGAATAATTTACAGAATTAGCTTTTTGACTCTAAAATTTAAATCAAGAAAATTATAGAATAAGCTATGAGTATATGTTAATGTAATGAATGAATACTCCTAAGTTACTTGGCTGGGTATCATAATAGGCAGACAACTACACGAAATCAAAACCAGAGACAATCATAACCTGCCTTTCAAAGTGCAAGAAAATGGCATGGTAGTCTTTTTCAATACTCTAGGTGCATTTTACTTATGTTGAAAATTAAGCCTTTTAAAAAACCTGTATTTGACTTATATTTTGTCAATAACTTCATGTGACAATTCTCACAAACCTGAATATGACATCAAATATCATTCCTTTCTTCTCTACAAATGAAATCATTTCAGTATTTTAATCTTTAGTTTTCTCAGTTATTATTTACTGAGACTTTCTACGTACCAGGCATGTTGCTAAGCAGTTGACATGTATTATCTCATTTAATCCTCACCAAACTGCATGCAGTTGGTCCTGTTAGTCTTATTTTACTGATGTTCTCACTGAGGCTCAGATGGGTTAAGTTACTTGTCAGAGCCACAAAGACAGTCATTGATCTTTATGTTGACTTTTATTCTTTTCATAAGAATCTAAATTGTGTTGAAATATAAAAGTTAATAAAAGCTCTCTTAATAAGCCATGGTTTTCTTTTCACTTTTTCTGGAAAATAGAAGCTTGTACCTGAATAATATTTAGGACCACAGGCCCAAAAATAATTCTTTATAAATTCTCAAAAGTAGCTCAGTGGCCTTGCACTGCACTACATTTTAAACACTTGAACTCAATCAGCCCCAAGTAATTCTCTCCATTTAAGGAGGGTTACTGTCATTAAGATTGGTCAAC